GAGGGAGGGAGGGAGGGAGGGAGGGAGGGAGGAGGGAGAGAGAGCGAGAGAGGGAGAGCAAGAGAGAAAGAAAGAGTGAATGAGAGAGAAAGAGAGAGAGAGAGAAAGAGAGCGAGATCGCTACGAAAGTGATGTATATAAAGTGCGGGATGTTATGTCGTTGCCGACGCATGTACATACGCGGGATTGCGCGTATGTCAGAGATGCATTCGCCGTGTGTACACGCGTGCACGCAATCTAGGTCATATATTTATTTGCTGTTGCGTTGGAGAGAGCCGTGAATGAATGAATTGGATTGAATTTGAAATTTTAGGTACGATAACGTTTCTAACATCCGCAGACTTGGGACTTGTCGCGAGGGTGCTGTCGCGGACGCGCTAAGAAGGTGGTGACGATTGTTGACGCCTCACCCTTGCGATACGCCTCATAATTGTTTAGCGAATATATGCTACATCACGGCGCACGTGTAAAAGTTCGTCCGTAACCGACGAGTCGATACGTTTTACGTTTGAAATGTGCTCGTCCAGTTTCTATAAACTCGCGGAGCTCCCACGTACGTGGCTTATTCGAGATTATATACTTTGACTCGTTTCTCGAGATAACTAAATTGACGATACGTTGCGTCTCACGCACGCAGTCACGTGAGAGAATTCAGGCGTTTAAAAATGGTAAGGAAATTGTTTTTAGAAGGTGAGATTTAATTATATATGTCGTCGTCGATCGGTCGCGTGAAAGAAGGGTTGACGCGCGTGCCTTTTGTAGCATATTTCGAGATATGACCCTCGTTTAATTGTACATATGAACAAGTTACTTTAGAGAAGTGACGGTGTGATTGATATATGGTGTACATATAGAATCCGGGTGCGCGTGTTAATTGCGCGCCGGGACTAGGGGATGATTATGTTAAAAAAAAATGTACTATTTATGAGTAGAATAGTCTAAAAGACTTTCTACCAAAGATCATCGGAGTTTAAGAGCAAGTTCTTTTATCGATATAGAAATGATATATAAAAACACAGCGAAATGAAAAGAGCAAGACAGCACGACAGAACACGATTATTAAAGTAAGTGAACGAAGGTGAGGATGCAAAGAGACATGTGTGTCTAAGTTGCACGGAGGTGATTTAAAACGAGTAAAAGGGAAAAAAACCACATTTATCGAGATAATATAAATGAGAGATGATAAGATAAAATGTTATATTTTTGTAGATTTGTTATTGCGTAAAATGCATTAGGACAATGAGAAACTTTATATAATTTGAGTAAAATGACAGTTAACGAGCCTGAGAGTTAAATGAATAAGATCCTGTGAGAAGGCAAAAAGGGTAGGATGAAGAAAAGAAGAAAGAGAGCGATGTGAGGTTAGGAAAAGAAAAAGAGAGAGAGAAAGAGAGACGGAGAGGTGAAAGTGCTTTTAGATGGCATGTTATAAGGAAATGACATTTGCGGGGAAATTTTGCTGAAAAAAAAAAGAAGAAGAGGAAAAAGAAAAAAAAACGAATCCCACGTTCTCCTACGTTTCCGAAGCTCTCAGTTTCCTGAGTTGCTTGTAGGAACAGGATTAAAAGGACACACAACACATCACATAGACACACGCACACACATATACATGCATATACATACACCTATCATAAATATTTATATATACATATACGAATAACCGAAATGAATGAATTGTAACTATATAAAGTCAGCTTCAATGTGCGCCGAGCATATGTGGAAATAATTCGACTCGCCGTTTTACGTGAAATGCGTACGCGAAATCGACATTTGCTTCGAGTTTGTAGCCAGTGTCCCAAGTATATAACAATCGTTTGGATATCGTTTAACGTCACTCGAGTCTCATCACTTAACGATTAGCGTGCGTTACCTCGTAAGTACGTCACCAGTGCACCAAGTATCGGCATGGAAGCATTTCTTTGCACGAGGAGGTAAAAGAAAGAAACGTAAATTTCGAAAATCGACAAGTCGACCGTGCTCTGAACGACATCCGCATACACACACACACTCACACACGTGCACACACACACACACACACACACACAACACATACAATACGTACTAGAAGCCGACTTTCTGAATCTGACGAATACTAACGATGAATTTGAGAGTAAAATGCCACTTTACGCTTTTACGTAAAGATAGATGATTTTCTTTCTGAGAAATCGAACTCTTGATATATACCGGATACAAAACGTAAGGACACAAATATGATGTTACGCAACGCCGCTCAGTCGCCGCTGCGCTGATGTGAGTAAATGAGTAACGTGAAATAATTTATTGTAAGCGCGCGAAGCGTCTATAATGCCAAAAGGTAAAAAAATGGGAAACCACATTGAATACAGCAGATGCAGAAAATGTTGAAAATAAATATATTGAAACTCGCATAAAACACGAATGACGTAAAGGAAGAAAAAAGGGACAGGTGCGTATGACATGCGTGCCTGCTTTTCGTTGTAACAAGTAGAGAAAAAGAGCAAGAAAGGAAAGGTAAGGGGAGAAAGAGAGGGAGAGAGAGAGAGAGAGAGAGAGAGAGAGAGAGAGAGAGAGAGAGAAAGAAAGAAAAAGAAAGAGAGGAAGGGGCCCACGAAAACTCGTCTATGATACCGACATACCATTAAAAAGATACACGAGTAATCTATTGTATTTATAAAGTAACGATCTATAACGACATTTGAACATTGTGTGTTGTGATAACGGAAAAAAAATTAATCGTACACCAAGTAATAATAACTAACTCTTGATAATCTTTGTGCCGGAGCGACAGGCGCTTTTTAACAAGTAAACGATTATAGTGAAACGAGTCGCGCGAAAATCACGAAGATATCTCAAACGATATCGAATCCGCGTCTCTCTCGCGTTGTTGCGCGAAAAGTTGTTCGTAAACACAACACGCGCTCGACTTCACCGAATGGCTGTTCTCATTTTATTTCAATCACCGATGCTCCTCCAGCACAGAATATTATGATGCAGCCATCAACTAGTCTCTCTAATTAACACCGTAAACGTAATTCGTAAAGTAGTTGGTATCCTTTCATTTCGAGACGAGAGATCTTTTTCGATATACGTTTACTCGCTCGCCCCCTTTTCATTTTCGTACCGCGTAGAGAAAAACCATTTGTAGGTCGTCTTACAAAAATTCAGAAAAGAACAAAAAAAAAGGATAAGACGAGATCATTTAATTTCAATAACTTTTGTTTTAAATGATTACCCCTCCCCTCCAAAAAAATTAAATGTGTATATTACGTTTCTCACGTATATTTTCGAAGATACGCACGATACCGATGTGGTCATCGTGCGTTGTTCGTGTTTCTCTTACTTTTTAACTTGCTGTAGCTTTGTACGAAAATATAGAGTTGCGAATTTTCATAGTGATCCGGACATGAGTAATAAATAACGACGAATAATCAACCTGGGTTGCTATATGTGCGCTCGACATTTTAAATCTTAAGTTTTTCCTTACCGTAGTTTTGCTTAATATACGTAAAATACGAGAATATACTAAAAAAAAAAATACGATAGCAAACGCAAATATAATCTAATAAAGTAAAAAGAACAAAAAAAATTAAACACTTATCGATGTAGCTGAAAAGGAAAACGCATGTGGGCCCCGCGCGAAGACACACCTTATATATTATTAAATATTACATAAATATAACGTATATTCTGCTATTATTTTTCATAGCTGAGAGAAGGAAAAAAATGATACACGCATACGCGCGGTAATAATGTATGTTTGATAATCATTATAGTACGTTTATTTTTCGTGTTTTTACTTTCTCTTTCCTATACATTAAAGAATAAAATGAAATAAAGGGAGATAATGTAATGATTGCAAAAGCGCATGTGGAGTAANGAGAGAGAGAGAGAGAGAGAGAGAGAGAGAGAGAGAGAGAGAGGAAAAAGAGAAACGCTACGCTACTTTTTGTGTGCTTGCGAAGAAAGGAAACATGCCCTTCGAATACTGTATCTAACGTAATTATTGCTGTCCAAAATGTCACACTCGCAATTTCCGGTATTACGAAGGGAAAGGAAAGACAGGAGGATAGAAAGAGTGAGAAAGAGAGAGGAAGAAAAGGCGGGGGTAAGGAAGAACAAGGACGAAATGTTCGTTAATCCGAAAAAAAAATTGTACATGCGCTAAGCTATTATTGATAATCATATAATTTGACCTCGATGGGTTGGCCGGTGGTCAGTAATACATTGTAAGACCGCGGTGCGCAGACCGTTTCGAATCACTTTTTCCAGATAGACTTCAGAGAAACTCAATGTTCATTATTATCGAACCATAGAAGAGAGGGGAAGCAAAATCGAATCAGATCGTCTGTCGTAACGAGCAAAGAGAAAGAATTCGGAAAAAAAGAAAAAGAAACGAAAAGGAAAGTCCCACCGCTCCGTAGTGAGCGGGTTTTCGGGACGAAAAGAAACGTGCGCGCCGGAAGGATTACACTTATTATTATTATGTAACTTATTATATATACACTGATCGTAAATAGTAATGAGCCCCGGCGATCTCAGCCGGCGCATCGGAGTAGAATTCGTAGACGCGGAGATCGTCAAATCGTTCACACAGCCGACCCATTCTCGGTCCTCGCATTTATATAAAGGCAGTCACATTGATGTATTATTGTTGAATTATTATACCATTGTAAACACTTACTGTTGTAACATGTACCCCCATTCATGTCTAGTGTCGAGCAGAGCTGATTCTATGCTTTCGCTAGTTCGGGAAAAGAGACGCCGAGATCTTGTGCGAGGAAAAAAAAGAAAAAAGAAATCTCTGAGTAATCATTATTCACAACTTCCGTGATTCCGGGGTTATTACATGATTTAACGAGGGAGTCGAAAAGAGTGAAAAGACGAGAAATAGAAAGAATGAAAAAGAATGAGAGAGAGAGAGAGAGAGAGAGAGAGGGGGGGGGGAAACAGGATAAGAGAATCAGTGCTGGCGAGTACACGAGGCAACCGAGAATAAGCAAAAAGCAAAAAAAAAGACTATTGTAACTCTAAAGTCACATTTAAACTACTTTTAAAAGCGGATACATATTTGGAGAGTAGCAGGTATAATAATTAATATAAATGTAGTGGCAATTCTCTATAATACTATCACAAAGAAAAAAAAAACCAATATATACAATGATGATTATTCGAAGTGTAAAACTGCGAAACGCACTCTTTAATGGATGTTGTAACGATTTAGAACTATTTAAATTGCATTGATATTCGCTGTAAATCTGCCTGTTGGTACGCGACTGCTCGGCCGCGTATCTTACACACTGCCTCGCGATGCAAAGCGTCGCGAGTTGCCGGATCGAAGTTCTATTTGCGAGTTAAGCGAGCAAGAGCCGAGCGGCCCGATCGGCAGATAAAAGTTTAAGTTTCTTCCTTTATCTCAAGAGCGTTAATATTTAATCCTTCATTTATCTTCTTATAACGCAACCTCTCACAACACACATACACACGCAGAATTTAGAATATTTAAGATGCGTAGATCCTACGTTTTGATTTTATTAAAAAGAGAAAGAAGGAAGCCTTGTGCGCGACATGATATATATATATATATATATGGCTTTTTTGTGAAAAGGCTACGAAACCAATTCGATCGAGTTTTGTAAGGGAAGCTCTTAGCACCAGGGGATGATAAGATAGATAGATAGATAGATAGATAGAGAGAAAGAGAGAGAGAGAGAGAGAGAGAGAGAGAGAGAGAGAGAGGATTGAGGGTTTTCGGATATGGTTGGCTGACATTTTCGGAAGTTTAATGATTTATCGAAACGTGTTGTCATGTCTTGAATATAATTAAAAAAAGAATGTGAAAAATTGCAGCAGAGCAACTACTTTACTGAACCTACCAATAAGCGCGTATCTTTCTATTATATAACACATTTTCTTTAATTTCTTGTTCCTGGATTGAAATTGTGATTTCCTTTGCTTATGCCTCAAAACTATAGAAAGTGATTATTATTCCCCTTTGGTCTTGTGACCAGGACAATGATATTGTGATATTTACCCAAGTAGCAAGATAACGTTAAAAACGTTCTAATGACGTCTTATTAACGTTAAAAATGTCACATGTTTATAGACTTACAGATGACATTTTATTTACAGACGTCTTATGTCCCGATTTTAGACATTATGCTGCCTGGGACGTAAAGGAACAAAACATTTCTTATATTTCTTCTCTTCACATCCAATTTTCAGAAATATACCCATTTGTTTTATTTCATTATGCTTATGCGAAAGGATTCACTGTGTCCGCATTCAAAATTACACTGCTGTGACTATCATTTTCTTCACTTTCAATAATGAAGACTCTATACTTCTTAGGCTGCATTCGAGGAGCGCGCTATCAGCACTGTTGTGTCATTGTATCTTTGTCACTCCATCAGATATAAAAAACAAGGATTGAATGACACAATAACATCGTTAGCGCGCTTTTTGAACGCAGCCTAAAAAGTACAGAGTTCTGAATTATTGAAAGTGAAGAAAATGATAACGACAACGAAATATACTTGTCTCGCTCTAACTTAATGCACCAGTTCAGCAGTGCAGCTGAAAAGATCAATAGTTTTCTCGATTACTCGATACAAGAAAGGTCGTAAAACTCGCTTTGACTCGTAGATATCGATAATCGTTTTGAGCATAGTTTATTACGTCACGTCCTGCNGGGGGGGGGGGGGTGAGAGAGAAACAGGATGAGAGAATCAGTGCTGGCGAGAATACGAGGCAACCGAGAATAAGCAAAAAGCAAAAAGAAACATATTGTAACTCTAAAGTCACATTTAAATTACTTTTAAAAGCGGATACACATTTGGAGAGTAGCAGGTATAATAATTTATATAAATGTAGTGGCAACCCCCACCATATATTTTTACCACATCCTTCCTTATATTTTTTATTTAACGTCCCGAATGCAATGGCGTCGTCCCATGGACAACGAACAAGTGAAACGGAATTTCTATTTCGCTTTTTTTCGTTGTCCATGGAACGACATCCTTACGAGATGGCCGCGTGCAAATGCAGCAGAAACGTTTACTTTACAACTGGAAGAAGTTTCTTGATCGGATTATTCTTTTAGATTTGCAGAAATAATTCAATCTCTCAGCACAGAAAATCGCCAGCAGTTGTAAAATAAACGTCCTCTCGAACATGGTCATTCATGTCCTCTAATGCATTATTTACTTACGTCGTCTTTGTCTATTATCGGCTTCTTTTTTTTTTTAGAAGCGACGGAATAAAATATCGCCATCTTCACTAATTTTCACATTAAAATATATGAGTAAATATATCAGATATATTTTCAATTTTGTCTGTACTTACTAAGCAAAATACCACTCTCACTGGCATTTTTGTTTATCGGTGAGGCAACGTTGCATCATGCATGACACATCGAAACGTGTTGCGTGCATCCAAGTAACACAAGTGGTTAATAGCATTCTTGTTCTTCTCTTTCACCTTCGCGAAGTTTCATGCAAAAAAAAAGAAAACAACACGCGTGAATGACGGAGACGATAAAGAAGTTCGAAAATTGTTCCTTTCCTAACTTAATCTTCTAGTGATGCCGCATGGATTTGTCTTCGACGTTAGATTTCTTTCAGGATAGGAACAACTTGAAACTGTCGCTCCCCTCCAAGATTTTTTTTTAAATTGGTATGGACGGGCAATCACGCAAAACGCTTGCCGCGCGGCAAGAAGCGACACTGCAGCCAATCAACGTGCCGTTCTTCCAAAAGAGCTAAAAGCTTATTGGCTACCGCATCGCTTCTTGCCGCGTTTTCACGTTCTGTGTGCACGAACTATTATTTAGCCCGTATCGACTATGAATTGGGACTGAGATTGGATTGAAATTTGACCAATTAGAGCCAAGTTCACTGACTCAAGTTCAGTGAACCTTGCTCTGACTAGTCCAATTTCTATACCGTTGTAAAGACTGTATTTTTTCCAAAAGGGATGTATTTCGAATGATCATAAATAAAAATTTATAACTATTACTTTACAGAGTGAGTTTTAATGAAAAGTTCGGAAACTGTTTTGGGACAGACCGTGTATTCTATATTTCAATATTTATAGACTAATAATACTAACACGATGTATAACAATACGAAATAGATCAAGTATATCTGTTGTGTAAAATTTATTGTTGCTTATATAATTTGAAAAACTTAATTTAAATATACTCGCTTCGCTGTGTGCAAAATGTCCCCGGAAGCATAATCGTTACAATAATCTGACTTACTAAGAGAAGAAACAAACAGTGGCAGTTAGTCCTAAAGAGATACACTTGCACATGCCTGTTCATAGTACCCTTGTTCCATCATATAATCGTTTACGCGGCCGTTTAGCATCGAAGATTCAAAGGTAGCTGGTCCGTAACAATATTGTTAGAAAGGTAACAGTTAACATTTTATGGTCCGCGCTACGGAGTTATCGCGCTATTTTACTCGAGTAAACTGAGCCTGTAATTCATACTTTTTTTGATTGTAAATTAACATCGATATAAAAGGATTTTTTTTATAATTACACAGCGGTGTTTTCATCATGTTTGCAATTCTTGTATTGTTGCTGGCACGTTGCATATTTCGCTTTTATTTTTATCCGCGTATATTTACGTTCAATCATATAGGTATGTGTGTATCGTTAATATTAATGTTCTCTCATCGCAACACCACTATATCGTCAGCGGACCGCAAAATATTAATACAACACGAAGCTCAAAAAATCTGTGCTAAATATTTATAAACATAATCTATGATACACAGCTTGGACATTATAGCAGGAGAATATTAATACTCATCATTAAAACCGTAAGAATAATTTGGTCGTTAAAACTACAAACGTCATATCGGGAAAAATTTTCGTATTTTTGTGAAACATATAAATAATATACGCGTAATTTGACCTCTGTTATCTCAGTTTCGGTATGGTTAATTTTTCTTCCTAACGTACAAGGGTGTAGCTCGTGTTTCGATCAACATGCTCTAAAAATTTGAAGATTCTCAAGAAAATTGCCGCAAATAAAATTACCGTAATCAATAGAATTATTACAATTAGGTTTACGGATCCAACCACCCTGATGAGCAGAGAGAAACTAGAGTTTCACGTTAACCCTTTCGGTACGAGCGCTCTGTCTGCCGTGACACTCCCGCTATACGAGGCGCCGCTCCGAAAATGCACACATAGCGCATAGTCAGTCCTCTTTTGTCTGAAGATTTTCCTAAGCGTTAAATGAGAACTGTATTTAATCTAATACGTCAGTAAGATAGAATACTCTGTTACCAACTATAGATGGCGCTCGTGCATACAGGATGTCACATGTATGCCGGATATATCCGGCGCTCGTGCACACATCAGATGGATGCCGGATATACCCGGCTCTCGTACACTATAGATGGCGCTCGTGCATACAGGATGTCACATGGATGTCGGATACATCAGGCGCTCGTACCGAAAGGGTTAATGGGTTTCGCTGGATAGCTATCAAGCTGTCTCTTGAAATCCTCTATGTTAGCGATGGAATTGTCTCGCCTATTCTCGTCCGATTGTTCATCAGGTACATATTCTAAGATGTGTTTCGTCTTCCAGTGATGCTTCTCGACACCTGCAAGACAGTCAAATTCTCTTGAACCTTGATTATGAAAGAACGACAGACGGCTGGTAAAACAGTCAAAATTATAACGCGTTGTGCGTGTATAAATGTAAGAGCAAATCTGGAAAAACTGAGCAAACCGTATTACTCTCTTCGGCCACAAATAGTTTTCGACTCCGGTACTGAATTAAAGTGATACTGTCACACTGTGACAGAACATTACAATAAGAACTCACCGTTGAACATCGCAGCCTCGATATGCTTCGGGCCGTTTATGCAGGCTTCCGCGACTGGTGTCGCTTCATTCGAAGCACGTCCGACCACGTGCACGCTCAGCTTGCGACAGCTCGGCCCGTTCTGCGTGTATGCTGCGTACCAGTCCTTCAGCTCGCCGAGCGTTATGGTCTGCAACGCTACCACCTCTCGCTCGAGCATGTCGAACATGTAATCCTCATTCTCGATCTCGTCCCAGTTCCGGTCGAATTCTTGCTTCAGGTGAACGTCGGCGCACAGCTTCTTTTTCTTCAGCGTCTCCTTGAAACTGTTCAGCTCGTCCTCCGTGGTCTTCTCGATGGTCTCGGCGAACGACTTGATGAATTCCTCGATCCGTACGTCCACGTATTCCGTCGTGTACTTGTCCGCCTGCGTGACCGCCTTGATGCTAAAACCCAAGATCCCATTGGTGTTCTTGGAGCTGCAGTGGATGTCGTATCCGAGCTGTTCTTTGGTTCTGAGCTGATCGAACATCGGCTCCGCCATCATCAACTGAAACGGGTGGACGATAGAACGTAGTGTGACTCGCGCGCAGACTCACGCCGGTGATACCCACCAACAGCAGATTGATCATCGCTTTCTCTTTGTCCGACTCGACGCCGATCTGATAGTAATTCAGCACCACGGAGTTCACGTCAGTGGTGTTCAGGTTCCGCACTTTGCAGCAGCGCACACCCAACGGTATCTTCATGACTCTCGGCCGCGGCCTCAGCTCGCTCGGCAACGGCTTGCATTGCAATATCTCGAAGCACTCTCGGATCTTCTCGACCACGTACGCCTGCGTCATGTTACCTTGCACCAGGCACTGGATGTACAGCTGACTCGTGTAGGACCTGACGAACTCCAGCAGATCGTCGAAGCTGACGTCCTGTAGGGCGCTGTGCTTCTCGAGGTCGGTCATATAGACTTTCATCAATATCGCCACTCTCACGGAGCTGTTGAGGAGGCACGGGATCCTTGGTTAATGGCGCAATCAACTGAGTGAGAGTGAGAGAGAGAGAGAGAGACACACACACAGTTGTGAATCATTAAAATCTAACTTAATCGTCGGGCGATTTTGCCCGAAAACTTGGAAGCTATTCAAGCGCGCAATGAATGATGTGAGTACAGTACGTGGAGAGGTTCTTGGGCTTCACGATTGCATTGTAGTAGTGCTTGGCCAGGTGTGTCCTCATAACTTTGAACATGTCCTTCGTGACGATATTGGGAAAGTTCACCATGTGTTCGGCGGTGAGCGTTAATAAGAGCTGCGACACAGCAGAAGAGAATATATCTCGACACAGGAGAAGAGCATGTACCTCGACGGTCGCGATCTCGACATTTGGGATGCGCTTACCGGCAGTTTCTCGTTGAATCCGTTTATATGCAATACTGCACCGTTCTCGAGAGACATGATCTGGTGAGTATATCCCACCACCGCAGCGGGATGCAGATTTTCCCTCATTAATTGGCTCAATATCATGACGTACAGGTCCATGAGAGCCGCGCTAAAATGTCAACCGGGCTCTTAGATATAATTCGGGCAAATCGGGCGAGGAGAAAGATGAGGGACGAAAGTCTCGGTGAGAGTAACGTCGAGATTATGCCCAAGCAGATGATCCTAAAGCTCTTTAATTAAAATGAAACAAGTATGATAATGTAATTTGCACTTATTCCTGATACATTGTACGTGCAGGCGCGAACTAATTTATTACCGGAACGTTTCGACCGTTACACTACGGTCATCCGCAGCCGGAACTACAAATTAAGGCTTATATCAACATATCCGCCATGTGCAATTATTTGAATATACAATTATTAACATGTCGAATTCTGTGGGAGTCACAGGTGACCGGCACCTGTGATTTCACCACCGTCTCTTAAGTTGCGTATAAAGTAGAATCAATTGCATCTATGTAAAATACAGCTTATACGGCTCAAGTTAAGGGCGGATGAAACGAGGTAAGAAATATACGTATCCTAAATTATATTTACTTTAATTGGATTCTAATAAAGAAATTATAATTATTAAAATATAAATATAAACATTTGAAAATATGTAATGATTAATTAGCTATTACTTACTTCTTTACCGTCGCGTACGGCACATCAGAGATGAAATACAAGGACATGTAACACTCCGGCAGGCCGAACGTGCAGTCCGGTCGGTACCAGATCTCTAACATTGCATCACGGTAAGCTATCTCGGGATAGTGAGGCACTTTCGCTGGCAAAGATATCATGGAGAAGTCGTCGACGAGGAACATGTTTGACAGGGGCAGATGAAAATCCGGAAACGGTTCGATGTCTTTCCAACGCTCGGTCCACTTCGACGGTATCTCTTTCTCCATATACTTGGTCTTGAACCAGGGCTCGATCTTGTCGAACTGCTGTTCGTTGTAGTTCTTGTCGTAGACAATGATGTTCACCTTGTCCGGCACCAGGCAGTCCATACACATTTGTATCGCATCCGCGTCATACTCGAAGAAGAGGCTGTCGCCAGTAATGTAGTCACGCGGCGGGTAAAAGAACATATTCTCGGACATGTCCACCACGTAATCCTCGGCATCCTGTTCCTCTAAAAACCTGGAGAAGATTCTCGAATGAGACTAAAATCGAGCTCTCGATTGTTCTTCTCACTTCTAAGATCACCAACGTATACTCCTCGTACTCGCTATATCCCTAAGATATCGCTACCTGAAGTTGGTCTGTTCGATTTGCTGAAGTTCCTCGTAAAACCTCTTCTGCGGGCCCTCCCTCTTAACCAGATTGATGAAGGAGAACACGGCAGCCAACACGTCCTCCAAGTTTTCGTACCCCTTATCGGTCAGCCACAGTTTCAAGCAGAACATGCTGTACAGGGAGGTGTCACCGAAATCGTCGTTATTGTTGCAACAGATGTCGATGCACCACAGCTTCTTGCACAGATAACTCATCAAGGAACCTTTACCGTAAGCGCCGATTATCGACGACAAGTACTCGTGAGGTTTAGTCTTATAGTGTTCCAGCGATGAAGGCATCACCCATGTCAAGTCAACCTGCAAAAGAGGTTCTTTCATCCAGCGTTTTCCACGTAAGTTCTTATTACACGACACAAAGATCTTCGGTATGTCTGGGTTCATTCGTTCCCGAGATTTTATCAATTTCCGCATACCCTGCAGAAGTCTTTGATAGGTTTGACTTTGTACATTTTCGGGAAAGCCGCGGTATCGAACGACTTGACGCCTTTGAACTCGGCAAAATCGTCAGGCAGCAGCGCGTTATTCGGTATATCCGCGAAGCACTTGGTTACGTAGTCTTCCAATGTGTCCAGTGGTAATTTTGCCTGTAAAGTAAGATACAAATTAGTAGATGTAAATAAGATAATATAATAAAGGTAGTAAGATAATAATAAAGTGAGATATCAATCAAATATAGAGTCAGAATACTTGTTACAATCCAGAGTGAAGGCTGGCTCTCCCACCTGTATAGCTAATCTCATTCTGTGAGCGCTGTAATGGCGTTCCCGGAAATTGTGCAGCTCCTGGTACAGTTTGTCCTTGCTCACATTGTCGCGCAACGTCGACAGATTACCCCAGCCGAACTTCCTGACCGGATGACCGTCGTATGCGAAGCTGCACTGCAGCTGTACCTTTCTGTTACTGTCGGCGGACAGGGCAATCTGAAACTCTGTGCGAGCGTTTGGCGTAACGATGCGGTATAACAATAAGGAAAAATTCACAAGAGGTATCACGATTATATTAATACCACGCACCACTTTCTACAGCTTCCCGCTCGCGTTTGATCGCGTCCTTCTTCATCAGGGGCTTGATGAAGAACTGAGCGAAACGATCGAGGGCCGACAGAAAGTGTTTCTGCTGTATGCAAAAGTGAAACGTTGTCTGCTCGAGCCCCGTTACCGCGTTAGAATATCCGCCGTATTTGCTAATGTAAGCGTCGAAGTCGTTCTCCTGCAGATAAAAATAGCGTGAGAGTTACTACGTTCGCAACACAAATAATAATGTATTCGGTATGCTTGTAAGACAACTTATAAAACGTTGTGACTTGAGCTGGACTTTGAGGATTCAATACCTTTGGATACTTTTCCGACCCCATGAAAATCATATGCTCGAGAAAGTGCGCCAAGCCGTCTATTTCCGGCGGGTCGCTGAAAGTGCCCACTCCCACGCTCATAGCACATGCTGCCTATTCGAAAGATAACTATAGATGATTGAAACATATATGTATAGAGAATAATATATTACATATGGCAGCAGACAATACTGATTCTACATATGTACATCTAAAAGCTTTTTTTAAAATCTACCTTGAAGCATAGTCAACTGGACATATCTATGCCAATACCAGTCTCTCACCTACAAACTGCATCCTTTCATAAGTTTTCGCTCAGGTATTGGCAATATTAAGGGATCACACTATTATCACTGATAGACGGCAAATATTGTTAAGAGAGAGATTGGCGCAAGATATACCATGACATGTGAAATCTGTTTTGCCGATACCATCTTTTCTGATCTCTTGATTCGTTTGGCTCGCGGAGCATCATCTTTATCAAATTTATCTTCGTCCTCGTCATCAAATGCACCTTCCTCCTCGTCATCGAATGGACCTTCTTCCTCATCATCACCTTCGTACATATCGTCATCTTCGTCTTCCTCGTCTCCTTCTTCCTCCTCATCTTCTTCATCTCCTTCATCCTCCTTGTCTTCTTCGTAACTTTCATCATCTTCAAACATATTTTCATTAGTTACTACATCCAATAATAAATGACAAGCAATACAATAAACAACAAGACAATATATATTCACAAATATAAGCACAATTATTTATTATATATATATATATATATATATATTTGGATCGTGTCAATCTGAAGTGCGCGCTCACCTTCTTCATCATCTTTATCTTGAAAGCTTGATTCTGCATGTACATCAGATATTAGCAAAGCTATCAAACCATTCTGTAGTCTGATGACTCTAAATTTAATACCAAATAACGATAGAATAAGGATCCATTCAAAATATATCGGGTATTAACATTCTATTCTAATATATATCGCAAAGTCATGTTATATATTAAAATAAAGCGATTTCAGATTTTAAGACATTAACAACTCTAAAGTAAAAGTTGCAGATGTAAAATTGTAGTTATATAAAATATATGTTTCTGCAACGATCTTTTAAAAAATTATCTTTTAAAAATGTTTTACAACCCAAGAACATCATCTGACAAAGAAGATGACGTGTTAAAAGTGCAGCTATGTTTACCATACATGAAGCTATTCGTGGAGGCGGTAAATAAGTTGCGATACACGATCGTGTGCCAATATCTAACCTGTATGTCTTCTTGTCCATCTCCGATTTGATGGAATTCTCCAGATACTCGACTCGACGATGCTCATCGTTGCCGGTTGTTTCCTCCATCGTGCCTTCGTGGAGACCTAAGTTGATGTTAGGGTTAAGCAGCGATCGATCAGCTGGAGGCGATCTGTTCGGCGAATTTGCGGCCGCAGCACCTTGCTGACTCGTCTCCCGTTCTTTCTCGGGCGTGTTCTGCGTCGATCTCTTCATTTTACTCAACAGAAACACACGCTTACTCGTATTTCTAGAAACGATCAGACGTTTGAGAAAAAACGAGAGACCACATGACATGCGTATATCCTATGCGACTGAACGACACGCTGAACCCATCGAATTATACTGACAGACCGAACGTATCAGCGGCTCGATATTTAAATCATTCGTGTACGTAACATGCGAGTGATATCCAATGAGCATACTGCTTGTGCGGAATAGCTGCACGCTCATTGGATATCACTCGCAAGTTACGTATACGAATAATTACATATTCGTATCATTCGAGAATTGAGGCCCAGCTTCATTTTTTTTAACTTTACTGAAACTGAGATAGAATCCGCGAAGATAAGAGAAATTTTCACGAGAATGCTAAGAAGAAAATAAGGAAAATGCAATAGTAGAGTAATCGACGTTATTTGACATTGTAATCGCTATAATAATCTGCTAGGCATCCTTCATTGCCAGTGCAAATAAGGGGTCTTCGATTTGATTAGACCCGTTATTTCTGTAAATTAGTTCCGAAATCTCCACTACGAGCCCCCACTTTCCTCAAGAAGAATGAGTGATCGTGATACGATTAAACGATGGGGCTCGACGTACCTTCACATTCCAAGTAGTGCTTCTCAACGACGGATCAGGCGTCCTTTTAATCCTTCCTGAAGAATAGGCCAAATTTAACAGCCTGTGACTTCGACAAATATGAAATTATCAAGATCGCTCAAAAAGCATTTTGCAGCTTGAAATCTTTAGTTTTTAATGATATTAGTACCATAAATTTGTCGTTGTTCTTTCGTCAAAATATATCGAGTTAAATGAAAAGTTACGACCGCTCAATTTTGAATCTTATCTTTTAGTTGAGTTTTTAAATCAAAAAATCACTTTTACAAAGAATTCAATGAATGCTATTTAAATAGAAAATTTTAAGCTTTCTACTTATTTATTCACGAATGTCGTTCACCGATTCGTTCACCTTCTATGAGAGATAGTATAGTAAGGACGCTTTTTGCTTCAACGTTAAAAAACTCGTTGAAGGAAAATTGCATCGCAATCGGATTATATACAAATTAAAGGGAAAGACTCACCCTTTCAAGCAGTGTAATCTTAATTAGTGTAAAATTTGTCGTTTATGTGGTGTTGCTGGGCAAACTTCATAAAAAATTTTGACACTCAACAAATCTCCATTGTTTATTCCGATAACATCGTAGAAAATAACGGAACTTGATATCGGACAATAAAGTTGAAAACTAGAGACTTCAAGCTATAAAATACTTCTCAAATTATGTCATTATCATTATTTCTTTCGAAGTTACAGCTCGTCGAATTTTGCGCGTTCGAAAGAAGAGATCTATGTTTCAGTATTCTATGTTTCGGCTTTCAGTCGTGCAACGCATGAACAAAATTTGTTGACAATTATTTGTCAAGAGAAACGCAGGAGAAGGATGACAGTACTCGGTGCAAGATGCGCCTATCGACATTTTATTACTGAAAATCGCGGTCATTGCACGTATACAATTGCCTTTATGCATTAATGTTGCGCGTCTACATACAGGCGTGACGCAGTCCGTCAGCGTCGATCGTGTACAAATGTTACAAACAGGTACAAAAAATCTACACTAATATTGTTGAATATTACTTCGGACGCCATCAATACTCTTATTCGGTGATTCACCTATTGGCTTCTCGATTATTTAAATGCAAAAATGATAAGCGTTGGAGCTCGGTCTTGCTCAATGCACGGAATAAAAAGTTCGCTCTCGAACAGTAACGGACGTCCTTTTCCTCACACGTTGATTTTCAGTTTTTATTTATACTACTTTATTTCCCTAAAGTCTCGCCAGGATTCTCGATAAAACTTTTCCCAACGAGAATTGTGTCCGTATTGATCAACTTATTAAATTTTCACCGCATTCTATCTTTGGCCACTCTCTTGGCAGTGACGAGTTGCGAATTTCGTATTTGTTTCACGTTTCATTGATTTATTCTCCGTCATCGATGGACTTGTCTCTCTCAAATTCATCAGCTACCAGTATTACATTACACATTGTTTATTCGCGCGATTGCGTTATAAAAATCCCTTGCAAAGTATACTAGTCATAAATAAAAGAAATTCTGTACAAAGCACGCGCGTTCGTTTGAGTTTTATTCATGCGTTTTTGTAGAAGCACTTATCTCTATGGATTTATATCGACGATTCACCAGGTACGTAGGTATGTCAATTAATTTACAAGTATTGTTCACTATGTAGCTCGCGAATGCTTCCCCGCACGTGTTTTTGCATTCCCTGGCATCACACACTTTATAGGAGCTACGTTTATTTAAAAAAATATTATGCTATATACGGTAATATGTACAATTGAATACTGTGTAATATTTACAGCGATGTTAAATAATACTTTAACTTAAATCTCCGGTGTAAGTCTGGTCCCACGTCTTCAAAATAGTCTTTGTACTAAAAAGATAAAAAATCTGAAGAGTGATTCGCTCACCACTCGCCCGAAACGGTCAAAACTTTTGGAAGATACATTGATTCCCAACGAATTAAAAGCAAGTTCATGCCTTCAATTTATTTGTTTAAGTAAACTCGTCGTTCACTTGTCTTTGCTAGAATCACTTCTCAGATTTTTTGAATTATTTGAGATATATAAAAAAAAATTAAGTTACGTACTATAAAACTTTACATCATTGAAACCGTAAAATCTACTTCTCGTATCAAGAACCTGCAAAAGTCCCTCGGGTTCCTTTTCCCCCCGAGTTCGTCGATGATTTTATTGGTCCGAAGAATACTACACAAGTGGAATCTGATGATTACCCGAAAACTGGAAGCAGAAAATGATGCGTAACCATGGTAGATATTTAAATTGACATGTTTCATTGCTACTAATAAGAGAAATACGGCTGAAGATTCAGCGCACCTCTGCAGGTCCCGTGATATTTCAATTACATTATGTAAGAAAAAACGATATAAATATAATATGTACGCTTTCCTCACGCACACATGTATTGCCTGTGTCACTTATGCGTGTAAATATAAATATACAGCTGAATACATCGAGGAGCATCTTGGCAAACACCCTCAGCTGTTCTCATTAAAATATAAGACACTGCTTATACATGTATATACACGTTGTGTATGTGCACAAACATACACACACTACACACATACGAGGTATAAAGGGGATATGTACACTATATGTGCTCAACCTATAAAAAAAAAAAGATGAAGTTTATAAAAAATTACAAAAATATACCCATATACACAGAGTGTCCCATCATCATACCACACAATCACAATAGTTATAATATTCTAATAATATTTAGGGCTCAAAGGGACACCTTTGATGTGAGATTCACTCGAACGTGCAGACTTCCACCAGTCCGATTCCGGTCATCTTCAAACGTTTAAAAAACTACCATAGCTTCGAGACAGTTTCGTATCGAGACTTCCGTCTCAGAGTGCCCTCAGGAATGTACCATTAACGAATGGCGGTATCGGTGAGACACCCGGTGTATGATCTACTGTAAGCTATTGTACAAATATATTTCATCGATATGATAGTCTAGAGCAAGGACTTGTCGATATTTAAGATGACATATTGGGGAGTTGTCGTAACGGATTGCGGCGCGAGCGTTCCGAGCGGTCCAGCTTGCAGCCTGGACGGCCCGGCCTGCGGCCCGGACTGAGAACCGGGCGGTCTCACCGCGATTCTCCGGCGGACAGTGTTCTCTTGAACCTGCAGGACAACCGGGGCGTTCTGCACCGGCTCAGAGTTACTAATTTTTCTTCTCTTCTGGATCGGCGACACTTCTTGCAGATGCAAATGTACCTGGTGCGACAAGCTCGTCGCGTGGACCTGTCCGTAGACTTCGATCTGATTGGCGTTACCATTCCCTTCCTCGTGGCTTTCGTCTAGGCCGTTGTCCGCCTGGGGAAAGTGCGCTTCGACGTGCTCTTGCGTTATAGCGATAGCCTCGTCTTCCTCATCCTCGTGCAGAAGGCTCTGTTGCCCGTCGGCCTCGAGAGTCACGGACGGCATAGATTGCATGGAGTTCTCGTCGCTACTCCCCTCTTCGTCGTTCTCCTCCATGTAACCCTCATCTTCCATGTACTCCATATTCGGATTGCCGACCACGAATTTCATCTCGCCACGTTCCAGACGGTCAATCATGTGAGGCTCGGACATGGACAACGAGACGCCCGCTGGATCCTTCTTCGAGCGGCTCTTCATGGTCTCGACCAGTTTCTTGGTCTTGTCGGGAGCGTATCTCCACAGGCCCCCTTTCTTTTGCGTACTATTCTTCGGCTCACCGTCACCGTCGTCGTCGTCGTCATCGTCGACCTTCTCGAATCTGTTGTTCAGCGAAAGATTGTGCCTCACCGAGTTCTTCCATCCGGCCGGCGCGGTCCTGAAGTAAGGGAAATGGTAACTGCAAAAGAGAAGAGAGGAAGGGAAATGAGATTCCTCGTCGGGATGCTACAAATGCGACGGAATCACAATTGTTCACGATCTCGGGCTACGATTTACGGGCTACAGGACACATTTTACAGAACCAACTCTCGCGTGTAGAGTCTCGAAATACACAATCATTGAAAACACAGACAGGCCTATAAGTTTCTAGTGATTACATTTCATCGTATTACGTATTCAGGTAGAACCTATAATAACAGCGCTTGGCCGTCGCTCTGCCTTTCGAACACCCTCCGTCTTAATTGCATTCGTAACTATGATCTCCCGTAGTAATCGTTTCATGCTGCATAAAGCGTACCATATGAAACTATAGATGTCACAAACTCGCAGAGCTCCCCGGTAGCTATTCTTCAAGGCCAGCATGATCAGGACCGAGTAAGAATAGGGAGGTTTCGGATATTTGGTAGCCGGCGCTTCGTTCTCAATCGTCGGCTGCTGCGGTTGGTATGGCGGGATTATCATCGGCGGTTCCCGCTTTTTCCTCCTGTCCCGTTTGATGCGATACACAGCGTGCTCCGGCGAATGATTCGATTCCGATTGCGACAACCTCATCAACTTGATCGGCGACACCATTAGAGACGAGACCGAGGAGGCGTCCACGTCGACGTCCGCGACGTCGGTCGGCGACGACAAGGGCGTTTGGAAATCCGGCGGCGTAAGCAGTGCTATGTCCTCTTGTACTTCATTCCCGTGCTTCGCTTGTCTTAGCTCGATCTCCTCGTTTCTTCCCTCCTGCTTCAGCTCTTCCTTCTTCAGCTCCTCCACGTCCTCCTCCTCGTCCTCTTCTCTCGCCTCCTCCTTCATCGTTCGTCCGTTCATCACATCGCCGCTGTGTTGTTCGCTTTCGCTCGCCTTACTCTCTTTTTCGTCACCGTTGCCCGTATCGATCGGCTCAGGCTCGCTTTCTATTGCCGGCTCACCGTCCTCGATGGGTTCGTCTTTGATTACCACGGATTTATCATCACTGTCCCGGTTCTCGACGCTGTCCAGGACAGCCTGCAACCTCTCCTCCGTTGCATTTCCTTTCGTTTGCACTTCCTTGTACGACGGTGCGATCGGCAGCACGAGCGGTATCACCTCGTTCGGATTCAACAGCGGCAGCGCGTCACTGTCGCTGAGATCATGTTGATCCATGATCTGACTACGTTGATCAATGTTCCTGAAAGGAGGATAAATTGTAAGTTTCCATGAGCATGTGAACGATAAGAAGAGCCGATTCTCAGTAATCAGAACCAAAACGCTGTCGTTGATTACGGGTCATAAAGTTACCTGAACAAAAAATTATTTATACAGCACTTCCCTTGTTTAAAATGTATATAAAAAAGCTTTAAGAACTTTGTGATACAACGGTGTTTTGCCGTGTTGGCCGTTTTTCTACACTGAGAGAAGAAATATTTACCAGGGGGGTATTAATGACACATTTACTTATTTACATATTTATACGCCGAGAAAAAACTTGTACGAAAAAATATACATATTCCTAATATATATATTCCCAAATCTGTAGTATTTAACGGAAGCAATTGTTTATTCCGGACAAAAGAATTTAGATTTAAGTAAATATGTTATTTTTAACACACCCACCGGATAAATGTTTGTTTTTACTTTTCAGACATCACTTTTCTCCAAATCGTTTCAGCATGTCCCTCCGCGAACGCGTCTTCCCTCCCGAGACTTTCTTTCGAAGGCTTACCCATTGGAATTATCGTTGGGATCTCCGGGTTCATCTCTATTGGCAGGTAATAACGACGAGAACGACGCGTCCCGTTCGAAAGAATTATTCATTTCTGTCCCATCGTTGCTAAAGAAAAGATGCAGATCCCATATTTCGTCAAGGTTGGAATACTGGCCTTCGTCCTTCAAGTGTCGGAATATATCTATGTTCACCATCTTCGTCGGCCTGATATCGGCCAGACTTTCAGCGTACAACATTCAGTAGACTGCAGGGACAGAAAGAAAGAGAGGATATTATAGGCCTAAGAACCGTCATCACCAAAACCTCGTCGTGAGCGAGAATGTAGCCGAGCGGCGAGACGACGCGAGATTTGCAAAACGCGATTTTAACAGATCGAGAGAATTATTGTCCTCACTCGGCGACGTCGGGTCTTCATTAATCCGCCCGTCTCGAAGCGTCTCGGAGCGCTCCTTTACGTTACATTCGCATCGTTACGTTGATGTCGGCTAATAAGTAAGCGTAGCGAGGGATAAGAGTAAAAACGCCTACGATGGGATTTCGAAACAAACGAATTACCATTTGAGCGGCGCCGATCGCACGCTTCCTAGATCCTCCGGATCGCCGTTTCATTTCACAGCGATACGCGGCCACGCGGAGGAGGATCGGGAACGCAATCGCATGCATTATTGCGCTCGCCGGTAGAAATTACAGAGTGGCTGAGTTCTTCTTATGCGGCGTAGGAGCAGAGAAGACGGGGAAGAATGGAGAGAAAGAGTCGACGAACGCGAATCGCTCGAATGTCTTCGTTAATTGCCGCTCGACAGCGCCTCATCATCACGCGAGCGATGATAATTGCATGATTCGGAATAAACACGTCCCAGCTTTTTCTCTTCGGTCATCAGAGGAAGAGGCAGCCGGATCCGTTCGGCGACAGGTAGGGTGCGCGAAGGGGGTGGCGAGTGTCGCATTCATACGCAAAATCGCGAGATAAGATCGTAATCCGACCGATCCGTACGCATCTCGAAAACGAGAACCGCTCTCCCCGAAGAGGTCGGCACGGTGCTGTCAGCACTCCTCCGAGACGATAATGCCCGGAGTCGAAATTTATGACGTCACTTTGACATGCCTTCAAGGACAATTTGCGTCTGCTTTGGATGGCCCACAGACCGATAAAAATCTACTCCGATTTCACCCACATTGACTTCTCCATTGAATCTTTCATTCCTACCCCGAACAACCTCTATTTTGATGCTAAAACGACAAAGCTCGGAAATTTAAGACATCGTCAGCGTCAAAATAGGGGTATATATTATATCAACGAATTGAATATTGTGGACTGAATAGAATATTCAGTGATAATATGTCATTGGGCAGAAATGAAACTGTGGATCTATCTCGCTATGCCTCGCTGCTCCTACTGTGTTGTACAAGTCAAAGGTTTAATAACAGTGGGCCAAGATTTCGACACCAGCTCCGAAAATTCCCACGCTATTTCATATGTTTATCAGCGTAGCGTTACGTCGAGTGCAACGTCGAGATGCACTCCGCTCGACAAGGCCGATAGATCCTGCGCGCACGCGGCTGTGAGTACGCGTGACCTCGCGTGCACGCGTGCGACGTACAACGAGGATCTTGAACCCACAACCGGCTTGTGGGTGTGACTGACTCATAGTACTATAGTCGATTTACTATACGCGCGTGCTCGTAGTACTCTCTTCTCGCTCCCTCCCCCCCCTCTCTCTCTGTGTTCTCACTCTTTCTATCTCACGCGACGTTTTTGTTTTCTTCTCTTCCTTTCTCCCCCCCTCTCTCTCTCTTTCTCTGTAGTTCCCTCTCCTTTTTGCCGTCTGGCCGTTCTCTCCGTTCAGCCTTTCCTCCGCATCGCGCTGTTTCTCGGATCGAGAAACGAGACCCCGACATCGGGCACACAACCGACCGGTTGCGCGCTTCTATGCGCGTATAACTCGCGTAGGTACGGCACGCGTTACGATATACGCGCTCGTCGTTTCTTCGTCTCTTGCCATGCGTTCTCTTATCCTGTACGATCCTTTCGCGGCAGCTCGTTTTTACTAATATTTCGTCTCAGGGCCAGGTCGATCATCGTCCGCACGCATATAGTTGATCCCTCGAGAACAGCGATTCTCGCAAGGTGGATCAAGAGGAAACGACGACGGTGAGGACGAGAAGAAAGAAGAAACAGAGGAGGCCAAAAAGGGACTGGGTTTGGCGGCACGGAGAAAAGGGAGGAAATGTATACTGGCGCATTGTGCTCGGCCGTGACGAGGGAGGAGAGGGGGAGACGAGAACGCGTCTTAGAGCAGCGAGCCAGACTTGAAAAACAGACGAAAATGAAGCCTGCCGAGGGCCCAAGGTTGTGTTCGTCGAGGTCCGCGGGTGAAGGATCAACGCGCGCGTTTTTTAATGCCGCTCTCGATTACTCCGCTCCTCCCTTTATGCCTCTCTCTATAGGGTGTTCCGGACGAGTCGTCATGAGTCCGCCTATGAACGAATAAATTCATCGTCGATTTCCAGGTCGGCTCGTGCTCCCTCGGCGAGAACTCGTCGGACACTCGAGGCCCGAAGGTTCTTTCAGCCGGTGTGCCGCACTGGAACTTCGTACCTTCTCCCTTTAACGCCAGCGTTACGTACTCGTTACGTCGTTCTACAGGCAAGACACGCAACTCGGTTGTACGTACCGAGTGGTTGCGCGCACGCGTGAGTATTTAAAGTAGGGATTTGTTAGCCTTCGGCAGGTGCCCAACGTCGGGGTCGTCGTCTATTAAGGGTCGCTGACTCCTCGACGTCCTCGGGCGCGCGGATAGAGCTATTCCGGGTCGACCGAGTTCTCTCCTCCGCATAATTGGAGAGCTGAATCGAGAAGCGCGCTTCTCGATTCGCCGGGGAGTGCAAGGATCGAGATAACGAATTCAAACACGACGTGCATACGCGGCGATGACGTCGACACGGTGGTGCCTGTGTGCAGAACCGTTCTTCTCGCCCACTAATTTTATACACTTTCTGTGGCAAGTCGTTCGCGCTGATACACCCGGCGAATTATTACATCATTTACACGGCCGACCGGATAATTCGCCGACGTTACAACAATCGGGCGAGGAGGATTTCCCTTTCACCGTGCTTTCGAGACTACGCGAGGCACAACGCGAGCGCGCGCGGCTTCGGGCCCCTCGGAAAATAGAGACGATCCGTGCAAATCGAGCGCTTCTAACACGCTCGATAGCGCGCACGCGGACGCCCGGAACGAATATTCCGTTCGCAAGCTGGTCCTTTTATCGGATCCTTCCCGTTTTCTGACACAAGCATCGTCTTATCGTTGTTATTCATTGAATATGGAACGAAGACAAAATAACGCTTGTGTCAATTTATCGTCGTAGTAAGCGCCCGTTATCCGCCGAGATCTTCTATTTCGAGCCGGGGAAAATTAATCGTGGAAACGCGGCGAAGCCGATAATCAATTACAAGCTCCAAATTACAAGCTCCCAATTTCAGTGGATGAGATAATAAAGTTACGGTGGAAGCGTTGCGACTTGCAAAATCGACCACGAATTCTGAATTTGCAGAACAGATTCTGACTGAGACACATGATGTGCCTGTAACATATCCGTCCAGATTGGTTCGCATACTCGAAGTCTTCCTCGGCAGAATATTTCTCGCGTAACGTTATCGGAATTGTAGGCGCACGTGATCAACATTTCGACCGACCCCGGGCCCGTCGCGACTATAACCCAGCCCTGGGACTGCGCATTTTGTCGGTGCCTGAAACACCTGACGGAACGTCGGGCGGCGATGTACGATGCAACTGATAAATTAGGGGGGGATGCACGGGTACCATAGAGAAAGAGGAGGAGGTGGTGGAAGACACATGCAGCGCAATTTGGAACACGAGCTGCGTATCCACACAGCGACCGCCACGCGAAGGGATTGTCTTTGTGGTCTGGTCGAACGAAATGAGCCAGGTTGAGGCGCGTTTAATCGCCCTGGCGCAATGTACGACGAAAATAGAAAAATTGTACTACGTGAAAAGGTAAAAAGAAACAATCCAGAACACGAAGCGCCTCGCTGACCGGAGCGACGTAGCTACCGTGAAAATTGAGAGAGAGAGAGATGGCTGAGCAGGTAGATGGAGAAAGAGAGGGAACGCCGATAATTCATTTATCGGATTTCAACGGAGCGGAATAGATGGTTAATCGAGCGACGGAAATAAAAAGGCCGTGTTGGTCAAATCTGATGGTCTCGTTATATCGATACTTCGTATCTCGTTATTCCCGAACGACGACGAAAATAGAGAAACTGCGAAAACGCGGAAAATTCCCGGAAAACGATAAGAAGGAAGAAAATTCAGCTGAAAAATCATTTCGAAGAGAACAAAACGGGCCTAAGAACGGGCCCGAAGTCAACCGGGCGATCAGTCGCCGCCATGGCGATCTCGCGTGAGCTTGGCCACCATGACTTCTTTGTGATCGCGCTCCGACCGGGAAACCGGTTTCATTCGCAGCGGCGGTGGACTTCTCTCTCACTCTCTCCCTCTCTCTTTCTCCGTCTGTCACTCTTTCCCCCTCCCTTCCTCTCTTTTGCCGTGTGTGAAGCGGACCGAATGTGAATTGCCCGTCCCAATAAATGGAACTTTGTCGACGAGCGTGTGAACACACGCGAGTCCGATCGTCCGCGTGTCGTTTACGATCGCCGATCGTAATCAACGTATAATAAAAATACGAGAGAGAGGGAGAGAGAGAGAGTATGTGCTACAATAAATAAATAACTTTCAGATTAACGCGGAGTTGCAATACGACGTAAAATACACACGCTCACCGTCGAGTGTCGAAAATAAAAGTGCAGCTGGAACGAAAATGGGGGGAGAGGCTCCCCTCGCCTTTCTCTCTCTCAGTTTATATATATATATATATATATA